AGCAGCCTCCCCCGCTCCTCTCGCGATGCTCTCAGCACCATCGCCGCTGCTCGCTTGAGCCCTTGACCCGCCGTCATGACCCCCCTCGCGTACTCCGGCCTCAGCACCTTGCTGATCGCCGCACGGCTCTTGCCGTACCTTCGCGATAAGTCCTGCTGCTGCATAGACCGTTTCCCCGTTGGAGACACTGGCGCCGAGTAGTAGAGGCAGACGATGTCGAGCTTCTCCTGCGCGGTCAGCCGGCTCCTGCCCCTGCACGCCGAGCTGTGCTTGCTCCGCGCCGCCGCGTCCCAGCGGCTGGTCTCCAGGCCCCGGCATGCGTGTCCGGGGGCAGTGTCGTCGGGGAGAGGCGGGATGACGTCGAGGGAGGGGTCGTCGGGGCTTGAAAGAGTGATGGAGGGAAGGAGGGCGTCAGGGCTAGCGGAGCCTGAGGGGTCGTCGTGGATGTCGACGGGGTCGATGGGGAGGAGGAGGAAGGGGTTGAGGGAGGCGTCGTCAAGCAGAATAGAAGGGGGGATATCACACAGAGGAGGATACATCGCTGAGGGGACGGATGGGAGGTGCTGGGCTACACGAGGATCGGAAGAGGAGGAATGCTGGTGACTGAGGCGCGCGGAGATGGGATGTTTCCGGGGAGGAGGGGTCCTTCAAGAAGCCCCCCACCCCTCCATCGCCGGCAAGATTCCATCACCGGTCCTCTTGTATTGAGACGCCAACATTGTCCTTCTTGGCTTTACTAGGACCCAAGACCTCTTGTTCCCCGATCCGCGTGACCCCCACCCTCTCCTTGGAATGGGAATCAGACCCCTCCTTGCCCCAAAGAAAACGGGTCATTCGAAGTTCCAAAGTACCATTGGAAGGGCAAGGAAGGCTTTATTCTTGTGGCCGTTGAGTGTCGAGTGCTGTCATCTTTGTGGAGGACTAACTTATAAGTCATAACTAGGAAGCCTGGGTCGTGACCCCTGCTATGAGTATCTCCGAACTAGTCGCTCAGTCCGTTGACCTGTCAGGGTCTCCAGGTTGGACGTTACCTCGGCCCGTTACAGTGCGGGCTCATCGCCTGGACACGGCATGTACTACTCAGTGGTCTCAAAGGAGATCGGATGTGCTTGTACGCCAGGCAGGAGATTGGTCGCAACTCCAGTACTCTGTCTACCAGAGAGATGAGATCTATCTCCAACTCCATAAAAGGGAGGCCAGATCCATTCTCTCCAATTCATGGCGGAGTACGGACAACGGAAAGCAGCGTCTGTACTGTCTCCTTGACTAGTGGCGTAAAGGAATCTGGCTGAAAGCTTGCACCCTCCACCAAAGCGCATCTTCTCTACTTGGTTAGATTACTTCCCCCATCACAAACATCTCCCAATCCTCATCAAGCGGATAATCGTAAATCCTCTCAATCATCTTGCTGGTAGTATCTCCTCCCTATCATCTTGCTTGTCGTCTTGCTAGTAGCCACTCCGCCCGATCCTTCTAGTAGCCACGCCTCCCTATCATCTTGCTACCTGCAACGACTCCCAATCATCTTGCAAGTCGTATCTTTTCCCAAACATCTAACTACTAGTCAAGACTCCCAATTATCTTGCTAGTGGCCAAGCCTCCCTATCATCTTGCTAGTTGTATCATCTTGCCAGTCATATCTGTCTGGTCGTATCTCAATTACCTTCAAGCAGACAATCGTCACTGTTCCCTATCATCCTGCAAGAAGTCACTCCTACCAATAACCTTACAACAAGTAACGCCTCCCTATCATCTTGCTAGTAGTAACCCCTCCCTATCATCTTGCTAGTAGTAACACCTCCCTATCATCTTCCTAGTAGTAACACCTCCCTATCATCTTCCTAGTAGTAACACCTCCCTATCATCTTGCTAGTAGTAACACCTCCCTATCATCCTGCTAGGTGTCACGCCTCCCTATCATCTTGCTAGTAGTAACCCCTCCCTATCATCTTCCTAGTAGTAACACCTCCCTATCATCCTGCTAGGTGTCACGCCTCCCTATCATCTTGCTAGTAGTAACACCTCCCTATCATCTTGCTAGTAGTAACACCTCCCTATCATCTTGCTAGTAGTAACACCTCCCTATCATCTTGCTAGTAGTAACACCTCCCTTTCATCTTGAAGCATTTTTTCGTATCTCCATCAAATCATCGTGCTAGTCGAATCTCCTCCAAATCCGTTTGCTTGTGGCTAAGCCTTCCTATCATCCTGCTAGGTGTCACGCCTCCCAATCATCTCGCTAGTCGTTCCTTCTTCCCTTCATCTTGCTAGCAGTGACCATATCACACTTTTACGGGTTGCTGACGTCTACAGGGAATGCGCAAGGCACCTTCGCAGGACGACACAGACACGGGTGTAGTGCAGTGACGTCGAGTTTACAAGGGGTAGTGCTGCTTGCTGCTCGAGCAGCTTCTTCTCCTCTTCTTACCAGGAGTGAGGAAACCACCCGTACTCAGAGGCTTTCTCGGCCTTCTGAGGTGAGCTGATAAATCAAACCTGAAGAGAATCAAGATACGATGCTGGAAAAACTGAGGAATCAGAAAGGACTTGTTCAATTCTGAACATGTGCCCGGCGCTGCGAAATACGAAATGTTTACCAGATTCCACCGTGTTGGATTTCCTTGCCGCTGATACCAAAGCAATGCTGTATTCGGGAATGTATCATCATAGCATTATAGACTGCAATGATCACACGTTCGAAAGGTGAGGGAGGACATTGTTGGATGGATTAGAAAAACTTGCTCGTGAGTCTGCACTGATGAAATGTGTGAGTTGAGAAAGAATGTTGAACTCGAGAAATAAGAATCCTCTGACAAGATTTCAATTCTCTTCTGAGCACCTGTAATTTGATGCTGAATTCCATTAAATATTTGGAGTTACAACCCATCGTGATGAAGCGGCTATCCCCCTTTCTATCGGGAGCATCGAAGGGTAGAGACCTGGCTGCTGTAACGACCGTCGGACGACTGCACGCTGATCAACAATCCTGGAGGAGGACCCACTCGACGACTGATATCAGCAGCAGAGCTGTTCATCACTTAGATCAAGTTAGGTCATTTCTATAAATCATGCAAACTTACTCAACAGAGCTCTTTTCATGATTGCTTCTTCCAAGGTGGAGCTTGCTCAACCGCCGGACAGCCGACTGGGTGAGCCTCGCAACCTTGAGAGCGAGCCTCGGAGACATTCCGTGGGGACAAGCCACGAAGGTATTTCCGATTCTTCACTTTATTGACTGAAAAAGAAGGATTCAATCGAGTATCGGTGATCCCAACCATCAGTGCCACCGCCTTACGGGCCCCTGGGCACGGGCACGCAGCCAGCCTGAGGCCCGGCGATGCCGGGTGGCCCGAGCCTCGAACTTGGCCCTGGCTCCCGGGACTGAGTCATGCGACCCGGCCGGGACCCGAGCCTCGGAGTCATGAGTCACTCCCGGAGTCCAGGCGGCCGCCGGACCGGGGCCCGCGGCCCGCGGCTAACGAGTCTCCCCCGGGGCGGCCGCGGGGCCCCGGCCGGGCCCGGGTCCGGGCCCGGCCGCCTGGCCCTCAGTGATTCATGAATCCGGGGCTCGGGCCGGGGGCCGCAGGGCCGTTCGGGAGTTCCGCACGTCAGCAGTCTTAGTGACTAACTGGCTTACACTAATCCGGGCAGGAGTCATGGTTACAGGAGGCTGCTGACCGAGCGACTCTCCGGACCGCCGGTGCCACGCCCCGGCCGGGTCTATTTCCGGTGTCTTAAAACCTTCTTGAGTACCCCACAAGGCCCATATAAAGGACCCCACCTTATAGCCCTTTCCAAGCCTTCAAGTTTGGCGGATCCGAGGCTGGCCCCTCCGAGCCCGGCCAGTGCCATTTAAATAAGTTTCAGGTCCGACTCAGACTTTCAGTACCCCTCCCACTCCCCGTCGACAGTCTGCCCCTCCACCCCCCACCTCTCTTTTTTTCGCTTCCGTAAAACTATTTGTATGCAAACTATAATTGTTTTATGTGCGTTTGCCGAGTGTAACGTGACTGCTCTGGTTCAACCAGTACCCCCATGAATGAGGGGGATGGGGGGTGGGGTTGAACAGTCAAAAACTGGGGAGGTCACCCGGTGTTTTTTTATTGGGCAAATAAAGTTGCGATGTTGGAACTTGAGACCAAAAGTGGGGACAGGGGGCTTCGGAAATGGGGTCCACAGAGGGGAAAGTAGGGGTACACTGTGGTAAAATTCAGGTTATTTTATTCCTCCTCCCTTGTACTCCCCTCGTTCGCAGCCTCCCATGCACGCCCCCTCCTCTACCTCCGACCTACTTTCCCCCTTGATCCGCTCCTCCTCTACCTCTCTTGCTGCTGAAGACTCCATGCTTGCTACCGCCCCCAAGTCCAACCTCTCCACCTCCTCTCTCGACGAAGCCATCTCTCATATCGTCGTTCGGCCTGACGACCTCGCCTCATTCATAGACTTCACAGACCTGGAACCAAGCAGCAACCACGATCCTGTTGAATGCGAGGGCACGTCTCAAGCTTCTTCTAAGTTTGAAGAGGAGGAAGGAACAGCAGCAGCTTTGCCGCTCCTCGTCGCTGCAACTATCAATCCCGCTATTACTTGGATACAAGGGTGCAGGTCTGTAAGGAACAACACACATACCAAGCAAGCGTGCGTGTCATGCAGACAGAAGAAGCAGAAGTGCGAAGAAGGTAGGCCGTGTCATCGCTGCATCAATGCGCACAGGAAGTGCATTGACGAAGACATGGCGAGCGTGAAGAGGAGAAGAATTGCCCTCCCTCACTAGCTGGAGAAGATGTCGTCGTGCAAGATAGGAATGATCGTGGTCACTGGACCATTGCACCCGAGAAAGTGATCCAAGACGGACATGAAAGTGACATTCAATTCAAGAATAGCTTTAAATATCTACGACTGCTCAGTTGCATGATAAATCAGCAGCAACAGGGGATACAATTCACAAGTCACAGTCAAAGATTACTGCTAGATTCCATTAAAAGTCCAGGTCTGTGGCTACAATTCATAGAGCGTGGGCTGTAATAGGAAATGTCTGGTAAATGACCTAGGAGTAACTGAAGCAATCAACTTTGATACATGTATGCCAGCCTGAAGCTAGTTTCCTTTATCTACAGCAGACAATACAGACACGGATTGCTATGCGTACTCCAGGAATAGGAGAGAGAGTTTGAGGCCTCCCTTTTATAGAAGTACACAAGTACTTTGAGACCAGTAGTACGTGCCATGTCCTGGGCGATAAGTAAAGTCTTACACGTACTGATTGAACGGGTGGATTGATCTCCCACATCCTCGCTTCACAAGCTTCGTACTGCACCATAGTCTTTTTAACTGCCAGACTTGCGTGCTGTTGCGATATTGCCATGTCAGTTGCTGCTGCATCTGTGTCATGTCGGTGCAACCTCAATATCAAAGCTCAAATTCAAAGATTTCATCTACATCAAGCACATATATCTAGATCGCATCGACGTCGTGAGCATAAACTCAAATGTATGGTAGAACTCTCAACGGGCAGCACGTGACACAGAAATGGTCAAGGAATCTGAAATGGCCAACAAGAAATCTACTGAAGAGATATGATGATTGATGAGAGGTGTAGTGGAGTGACATGATGGCTGCGTCCTCTAGCAAGTGCGGCACTCACGGCTACCGTTGAACTATGGACGATAACCCCTTGTGGGCGACAATTTCTATGAAGTACGGTAGTCTCTCCTCTGCTGTTAGCACTGGCAGAGAACCAAGAGGAAGGAAGCTCAGGCATATCAGGCAAGCTTTCCCGTGCCCCTACCCTTGGTGGTCACTCATAAGATTTGCGATCCCTTGGAGTAGTCTTCCCCCTCGTCACTGTTTCCTTGTCCACGAGCAAAAAATCTTAATTTCTCTCCGATACACCTCGCTATATTGATTCCAGTGGGAATTTTTGGGCCCCCGAAAGAAGCGATTACTGACATGTAGGCGATGGTCGCTGCTGACAATCGTCTCTAGCTCACTGAGCTCACAGGTTTCTAAGAGAGAGTTTTTTGTCAAAGGTGTTAGAGGAACATGACATGGCTGAATCAAACATGACCGCACGTCGGCAACCTTGTATTGAGCTGACGATGAACAGGTCTCGAGTTGAGGTCGTATACATGGAGCGTGGATAATACACGCCTATCTCCTTGCCTTATCCGCCTCAACGCAAACTAACAAAGCTGAAGGATAAGGACCAACTCCTCACTCGCAGGTGCACGATCAAGACAATGCTCGCCTCTATGTTCACTCGGTCTCATCCAACCCAGCCCCCACTTCCTTCCATGCCCATCCAGTACCTTCTCCCGCCTCTCAGCCAGTCGCTCTGCCTGGCCCTCGCTCCTCCTAAAGGGGATACGATAGTCTGTTGCCCGTCGCTAGCAACGGTGTATGATTACCACCCCTCCAAAACCAATTTATTATACCAGAAAGGAAGGGTAGGGGTGGGGAATGAGAAGTCACATAAGAGTCAGGACCGGTGGCGCGCCGGGTTGTGCGAGGCCGCTGCCACGTTTAGTCATCATAATGACTAAACTAATTTTGGTAGACCAACAATCAACGGTGTAAAAGGGCCCGCGGAGGCTGCCTCGGATTACGGGGCGGCCGGCCGCCCCCCCGCCGCCCGGCCAGACTCTGACCAGCTTCACGCCGTATGGCCTGTGCGACTTGCGACAGTGCCACGGTCAGGGTCAAGCCCGGCCTCCTCTACTCTCCTGATCAACAATTGTCCTCGTACTGATTTTTAAGTAGGCTCAGTAACCGTTTGAGTAAAGCTCATGCCACCGTTCACCTTGCCAATTGAAGTTGGCAACTTCAAGTTTAGTAAAGTAGCCTGTCAGGCTGTACTACTGGCACACGGGCGGAGTACGCCCGTGTGCCGCCTCGCACCGTCGCCGGGGCCCGGGGCCCGGCGGCGCTGAGCCGCAGTGATCATCAGACTCCGAGTCGGCCAGAGTCACCGTGACGGCCCGGCCCACGGTGCGACTCTCAGGGTGCCGCACCTGCATCTACTGTACCAGGACATCTAGCGACTGCCAAGACCGGCCCCACGTTCAAGCCTGTATACCACGAGAACCGCAAAGAAGGTGTCCTCAAGAATCGGAACATCGCGGAGGAGTAGCGGTTTCAAGGACAAGCCCTCGCCTACTGGCTGAGACTGAGGTGCAAGGAGGTACTGACAGTGTGATGGTTATCACTCGCACGTGTCAGCATCAAGACAAGGCTCGCTTCTATGTTTACTCGGACTGTACTCACCACTACTCCCTTCCAGGCCCATCTGACACGTTTCCAGGCGGAGTGTCCAGTATCCCCTGCACTATCCAACACGCCCAATTCTGGCGAGTAGCATCCAAGTATCAGCCAGTCGCTCTGCCTGGCCCTCGGCGCATGACCTTGAGTGTTGTGATGGTCTGTGCGAGCTCACCCTTGAGACGCTCCTCTTCCGCAATGTTGTGGAGGACCTCGTTGCGGTTCTTGACCATGAGCCCTCGAGCCGTCGCCATGACCCCCCTCGCGTACTCCGGCCTCAGCACCTTGCTGATTGCTGGGCGGCTCTTGCCGTACATCCTCGACAGGTCCCGCTGCCGGATTGTCCGTCGGTGCTTGGTCGTGGCCGGCGCGGAGTAGTAGAGGCAGACGATGTCGAGCTTCTCCTGCGCGGTCAGCCGGCTCCTGCCCCTGCACGCCGAGCTGTGCTTGCTCCGCGCCGCCGCGTCCCAGCGGCTGGCCTCCGGGCCCCAGCTGCCGGGAGGTCCGGGATCCGGCAGGACGTCGAGGGAGGGGTCGTCGGGCCAGGAGAGGTCGAGGGCAGCGACGACGGGGCAGGGAGGGTCAGGGAGAAGGAGGGGGAGGGGCAGCACACGGCAAGGCGACAGGCAGCGGTCATCACAGGTAGTAGCGGAGGGGTCTGGGATGTCGACGGGGTCGATGGGGAGGAGGAAGGAGGGGTGGAAGGAGAAGTCGACGTGGAGGTGGAAGGATGGGTGGAAGGAGGGGTCGTCAGGGACGAAGGGAGGGAGGAGGAGGGGCAGAGACGGGGACATGGCAGGAGCTGCGGAGGGAGGGAGAGGAGGAGGGGCTCAGCGGGTGAGGGAGGGAGCAGGGGCTGGCAGCTTGTAAGCTAAGGACAGGAGGTAGCGACATTCCCCCACCTGGTCTTTTGACCGGTGGGCTGCCTGCGGTCATAGCATTTGAGGACAGGAGGGGTGGGGGACGGTAGTAAACTTATGTTTTTTCTTACCCGGCATTGTTCCCCGGTCCGCGGGCCCCCCACCCCCTGAGAGGCCGTCCAGAAGGACCGGTGAGTACTTCGGCCTGCGCCTTGGGTTCCGAAAAAAAAGGTCATCTGAAGCTACGTATACATGTATGTTGGGAACCCATGCCAAAGAAGGGGGTACGGGACGTTTGTACAGCTCTTTCTGCAACGGTTCTATAGTTTTCGGAGAGTACGGCCACGGTCACGGGCTTGACGCACCGGGCGAAAGTTGCTTTCCGCGACACCCCACCCCACTGACAAGACCCCTTACTGACGGGTTCAGAGCTCGGGCCGCTAATTCAGGCTTTCGTCACAATGAGTTCACTTGGCTCGGCGAAGTTACGCTAAACAACTTCTAACAAGAACCAGGACAATCAGGAGAGACGTGTAGGAGATGGATCGTCGGATCCTGATACTGTCGCAAAAGCCAAACGGCAATAAGAGAAAGCAGCCATTGTTGTGGTTACTTGGATCAGACTGCCGAGAGTATATCTCAACCCAGGCACTGGCATGGTTGCACGAGGCCCGATGACCAGCAACGCTGACGCTGGTAGGGGGGAGCAGGAGGAGGAGGCAGGATTAGGAAGAATGGAGGAGACTGGAACAGGATCAGGAGGAGGAGGCGGGAAGGGAGACAGGAAGCGGGAGGAGGAGGAGGAGGAGACGGTGGTTCAGGTTTGCTCCGCCCCCACCTTCTTGTCATGTCAACGCACATTCGAGCTTGCCTGCACTACTACCACAAACTGGCAGGGCTGCCTCCTTCCTCCGACACATCCAAAAGACCGTAGTACGTATCCCCCGTGCACTTTACTCAAGCAAGGCTGATCAAAGGCAATCCAAACAATGCACTCGTCTCTATGATTACTCCAATTTATTCCACTCCCACTCCATCCAACTCATATGCCCATCTCACACGTTTTCAGTGCTTGGTCGTGGCTGGGGCGGAGTAGTAGAGGTAGATGATGTCGAGCTTCTCCTGCGCGGTCAGCCGGCTCCTGCCCCTGCACGCCGAGCTGTGCTTGCTCCGCGCCGCCGCGTCCCAGCGGCTGGGCAGGGCGTCGAGGGAGGGGTCGTCGGACGAGGAGAGGTCAAGGGCAGAGGCGACGGGGCAGGGAGGGTCAGGGAGAAGAAGGGGGAGGGGCAGCACACTGCACGGCGACAGGCAGCGGTCATCACAGGTTGTGGGGACGGAGTCGATGGGGAGGAGGAAGGAGGGGTGGAAGGAGGGGTCGTCAGGGAGGAAGGGAGGGAGGAGGAGGGGTAGAGACGGGGACATAGCAGGAGCTGCGGAGGGAGGGAGAGGAGGAGGGGCTCAGCGGGTGAGGGAGGGAGCAGGGGCTGGCAGCTTGTAAGCTGTAGCGACATTCCCCCACGTCGGCATATCGGACCCGACCGGTGGTGGCACTACAATGGAGAGTAGTAGGGGTGGGGGACGGTAGTAAACTTCTTTCATGTTTTCCCACCCCGGAAAGTCGACCCCCACCCCCCCTGAGACGCCGTCCAGAAGGACCGGTGAGTACTTCGGCATGCGCCTTGGATTCCTCAAGTCCGAATCGACGTTCCAGTACCCCCTACCCCTTCCCCCCTTGGTGCTCGCCCATATAAAGGGGGGTGCGGGCCGGTGGCTCATTTGTACCGCTTGCTTCGGTGGTTTCCGAGTGCTCCGATGCAAGTTGAACCCCCGAGTGGCAAGTCCGCGACCCCCCCACCCTCTTAATGCCCTGCCTCTCACTTGCCAGGACCGGTGGTTGCTTGGCTCGTGGTTATGACTTTTTTTTTTAATCAAAGTTGAGTTAAAAATCAGAACGAGGACATCAGTCATCGGGAGTCACGGTGGCTACTCCGGGCCCCGAGTCCGGGCCCGGGCTCCGGCGGTTCACTGTCAATACAAATACTATTATAGTCACTATTTGACCATATCAATCGGGGAAGCCCTAGCTCAGTTACCACTCCGAGGCTCAGTTAGTAAGTGACTCAGTGAGGAAAGGCTGCCAGTCTTGAGCCGTGCAAGGCTGATAACGAGCACTTGTAGGTCTCCAAGTATTCTCGCTCCCTCCACACTGTCAGGGCCCCTGTTTATCGCTGCAGGCGCATCTGACTGCGAAGGCTACTGCGGCTCTTGTCCTTCGCCTTCAAGTCAGGATCATGTGTGATTGTTTTACTTATTGCCACATGCTTGAAAAATGGATTGTTCTAACAGATCGAGCTGTTTTGAGAAGCAAGTTGTTGTGTTGTAGAAATCAGCCACCATGTGGATTTGAGAGACTAGGTCCGATTTCAAATCCTTTCCATACTGATGACATGATAGAAAGGCTGAATCCTGTCTTCGAGGTCAAGCATCAACCATCTAGTTTCGTATGCAGGATTGCGGTTGGAGCAGAAAATCTCAGACTTTAGGGTATCAACGTTGTTGATTGTAGAGTCTCTAAGATAAGATAAATATGGTGAAGTCGTTCAGCTTTCAATGAGTGGTGTGAGTATGTCAGTATGCTACTCGAACTCTTTCTCTACTTCCCTTCTTGTGAGTCGAGAGATCAGACAGCAATAGCAGATTCATATCCTATCATTGGTAGCCTAAGGTTGGTTGTGTTGGAACTCAACACACGAAGAGACACACGATGAGTAGAATCCTGGACTTGACACCTAGGACAACAACCAGGCGCCGCTTGAAGCACGGGTGGGACGCCCGGTCGCCTTTCCCACACGAGGGATGCTTTTGAGAGATCGTTGATATCGAGGTTGAGTGTCGTAAGCAATGCGATCACGATGAGGAAGAAGAAAGAGCATCCGGCATCTTTGGACAGAGCTCGTTCTGCGACAGCAGACGAGTTCGGGGGAAGGGGCGATTGGAAGGAGTCGAGACGTCGATTCCGTTCCAAGGCCGACACATGATCCTCAGGATCCAGAGATCAGCAAGGAAGCAACGAGCTCCATATCGGCTGACGACCTTGTTCAACAGCTTCAGAACGACCTCCCTGAAAGTCAGGCTATGATCGCACAGCTGCAGGAGATGGAGGCTGCTTTGAGGGGTCAGCGCTAGATACCAAGAAGGGAAGGACAGGAGAATCGTCATCCCTTCCCGGCGGGACGTGCGGATCCGAAGGAAGTCAAGATGGTCATTGTTGTTGACGACGTTGGAGTTGCAGCCTTTGTCTGATGCGATTCCACAGGAGCAGTTGGTCAACTCTGTCAAAGGCCTCATGGGTGAGAATGTGACTGACTGGATTACCTTCTGCTTGAACGCGAACATGAATAGACAGGACAAGATGAAGTGGGAGGCACTGAATACAAGACGGATGTCATGGGATAACCTTTCCTAACTCATGAAGAAGAGGTGGCTGTCTCCAGATTTTCCGATTCAGCTGATGACTCTCTTACGGGGTATGAGGTAGAGCCCGAAAGGGTCAATCTAATTGTTTGTTGGAGGATGTAATGACGCCTCGGTCGCATTGAAATCAAGCTCATTCGATGTGGATCGTGTTACTTATTTTGTCACACGACCTGAGCTTAAGCATCGTCATAAGTAAACAAGTTTTGACACTTTGCTGGAGTGGGTCAAGACCAGTCCTGATGACGTAGACATGCAAACTGTACTCGTGAAAGAAAAGCTCAACCTGCACAAGGTAGATCTGATGGAAACGAGTGCAGCTGCTATGTTGCTGGACATGTTCCTTGGCACATACATGCCTGAAGGCTCTCGTTAACACGCAAGCAGACAAGTCAGGGTGGCACATTTGCGGCAGGTTCTGTACCCACAGACCGTCCTCGTCTTAGAAGGCCTTTGATAGACGCGGGAAAAAAACTCTCCACCTTGAGAGTTTGAATGCTCTTACAACGACAACAGCACACTGGTCATAAATGCTTCGTAGCAAAGGAGTGGTCTTCAGGGAGGAAGGGAGGGAGGAGAAAGCGTAGAGACTGCGGTGGGAGAGAGGAAGAGGGGCTCAGCGGGTGCCTCGGCGCATGACCTTGAGTGTTGTGATGGTCTGCTGGGTCTCCTCCTTGAGACGCTCCTCCGCGATGTTGTGAAGGATCTCGTTGCGGTTCTTGACCATGAGCCCTCGAGCCGTC